TATTAGGTATTACTCTTTTATCCTGTGTATGTTCAATTTTTCCACAATATATAAGCGGAGGCTTCATCTTCACTAGAAAAGCCTTTACTGACTTTCTGAGCAACAGTTGGAAAAATGACAGTAGATGTTTAATCATTTCACGTTCATCTTTAAAATTGAATGAATACCTAATCTCAACAACCCTCCAAATCATGCTCGAGCTTATATTCTGAGTTCAGAAAAGTTGCCATAGGTAATTTTTAGTCATGTTAAAAATAATTATGGCAGGCGCAGAAATTCATCATGTTGTTGATTGAGCTTCTAATGATCTTACAATAGGTACTTAGATATAGGCATTGAAAGTGTAGGAGTGCTAATCCAGTAAAGCACCGCACTTTCACTCCATGCTGTCGTAAAGATTGTGTGTCTGCCATTATTGTAGTGAAACAAATAAAGAATCGGGATATACTTATGGGAATTCCTCCTTCAAGATATGATCAAAATAAGCAGATATTGATAGGTCAACAATGTATCGCTGAAGCAGAAGCGTCTAAATCCTCTTGAGGCAACGGACGGTGACAATCTCAACAAACTGGTGACGCTTCACAAATTTTGAATTTCCACATTCCCAGAGACACGCGCTGAAATCCTGTTTCTCACCCCTCTTTCCGACTGCTCTCCGAGTCCATGAGCAAGACAGGAAGAAAATAGGCAAGCTACCTACCACTGTTTGCCTACCTATGTGTGTTTTTCTTAAACTTGATTTTCAAAGGTGACTCATGTAAAGAGCAACTGACAAACAAGATTTCAGAACCTGCCATTGCATTTCACTAATCTAAGACACAAACCCAACCTTACCATTGATATTCTTTCGCTTAGACTGTATATTATTCTCCCACTGAGATTCGATATGAACTCAATTCAAAAATCCTTCTGAATTTAATTATTCAGGTAGATTGGAATCTGGAGCTCTCAGTCTATCTGTAAAGCGCATTTACTAACATTCACTGCTGTCACAAGATATTTTTGCACAGGCAGAGCCACTTTCCACAGTTGATGCATCTCTAACGCCAAAGCTCAATTATGACAAGTGGTTCAACGACCAAAAATTGTTACACGCCTCAATAAAAACCTTATTCTTATCTCAAATTGAAAATCTTGGATCACAGAGCACTCACCGAAGAATCTCCTTCCTTCTGCATCAGTATGAGAAGAGTGACGATACTTTGGAGCAATAACTTTGAACTAGTTTCAATAAATGATGGCTTCAGAATTTGAGTCATCATTTACTAGAGATTGGATCAAAGAAATAAGTCAGCAGGTCACGGTTGTGGCTGGAGTCACACTTCCAGTAGGACAACCAGGAAATAGATACACGGATAACACACAAATTCAAGAGCTATGCAGCTCTGACTGGATCAGATTTTAAATTTAATCGGTAGATTGAAATGAAAAAATTCGGTGCACTACTTAAAGGGAAGCAGGGTGCCTTATCTTGAAATCTTAGGCAAATCGTTTGGATACAGTAAAAAAGTTCTTCGCAGATGATGAACTGGTAGGTAAGGCTATTACTCAATTGTAGCCTGTAAAGCTCTTTGCTTGCTTTGCTTCTGTAGTCATAAAATGTTGATTAGAGTTGCAAGAATTATCTGAAAAAGCAGTAATAAGCCTGGATTCCATCTGACACTAAACACCTTCACTAGAAAATAACGTCCTACGTTTAGCTAAATAAGGATAAGTAAGCCACATATAACTGAAGGAATCACGTAAAAGTGTTTAAGCAACAATTGTAGTAAAATTATGATTGTAAAAAATGTTGAATAATGGCAAAATTAAAGCTAAATCGTGGGATAAGCACCAGTTGTTTACGAACGTTATGATAATAAATCCGCCATATTGCCGATCGCGCACCTGAAAATCGCATTTGAAGTCGAATTTCAACTAATTTCAACCTCCGGTTCGTTTATGCGGAGTGCGAAAACCTAGTCTTTAGTGTAAAATAAGGTTTCAAACACAAATTTCGGAAACCTACATTTCGTTAGTTCCGTATCGTTTATGCCGCGATTTGAACCTTGGTTTCAAACTCAGGTTTCGATTGAAGTTAGGTTAAGAGGCTCGCATAAACATAGCTAATTTCTGAATAGGGTCTTCTAAAGTCGTCGATAGAATATTGGAAGTTATCAGGACTTGTTTGTTCTTGGTCAGTGTTTGAGGTTAGGACTGAATACTTGTTTTTCAGAACCGGAAAGTTCTTGGGATCGATGTCTTCAATAGAAATGGTCTCTCCTGCCTTAACTTTATTCTGGATTGCTAATAGTCTGTCATTCAGGGTCAATTTGATGCTTTCAGTTTTCATCACCTCAAGCTTTTTGGTCGCCTCATGGAAGCTAAGGTTTTCAAAGGCCATAATTTTTTTAATAGATTTCTGTTCAAGGAGGGAAGGACAGGATGGGTCGAAAGTTTTGTGAGGGCCTTTAAAATGAAGACATTTGGTTACATTAGGGCAGATATCATGAGCAGCATGTTGGTCTGAGCAGTTTTGGCATCGATTAAGACCTTTACAAGTCAAGATCCCCTTGAATTCAGCACGGTGGCCGTAGTTTAAGCAGTTAGAACAGGTTGTAACATTGTAGATGTAGGGGCTAGCTTTGCAACGAGAATAGAAGATGTAGAAGAAATCAAGACGGGTAGTACCTTCCCATAGAAGTTTAAGCTTAGGGGTGGGAGATAAAATACCTTTCTCATTTCTTCGGAAGTTACGTCGAACTGAGATAACATTAGAATATTTATCTTTTAGGTAGTTACCTATAGATTCGATGCCGAGACCTGTATGTACATCACTGATTACTAATCTACGAGTAATATAATTAAGGGGAATGAAAACCCTAGCATTTTCGTATGGGAAAATAGATTTGTGATTGGAAACCAGAGTATTGGCATGATCACGTTTCACAAATTCAATGTTGACTAAATTTTTATTAATCTTTTTGATAGACTTTATACCAAAAACATTGCATCTATAAAGAGATTCTCCTATAAGGGTAGCATGTTTGTTACCTAAGCCATCATAAGATGAAGAGATAACAAGGGGGCCTGTTGAGTTCTCAGGGTAAAGTAGATCCTCTATATTCTTTAGAATGATAGCTCTTCTACTTTCAACAGAATTAACGAATGGATCAGCGATTGTGGACCAGGAACTGTTTAGGGGGTACCACCAGGGAGGTCCCCTGGATCTACTGGAGGATCAGACATTTAGGCTGTCATAGGGAGACAGAAGTTAGAAAAGACGGACTTACCACATGGGCACGGAGTTAGATTAACAAAAATCTTGGAAAAGGATAAAAATGACTAGAAAAAGGAGGAAAAAAACTAACTGGAGGGCATAAGAACAAAAAGGAACACAAAAAACGAAAACAGAAGACGAAAACTAACGAGAACCGAGAGAGAAAAGCAGAGCAAAAACGCACAAAACACTAGTCAGCTCGGTGGATCGAACGAGAGTGTAATCTTTGCTTTTTAGGAAGATTATCAGTGGCGTAGGGGTCCGAAAACTGCTCAACAATAGTACAGTTTGAGTTCCGAATCGCTACGTGCCCACTTTTATTTTTTCTTATAGTTATATTGCATATCGACGGTGAAACTACCAAACCACGTATCTCGGTTTGCGACGTCGCAGACTTCCTGTCATACTTTATTTTTTAAATGAAAAACTACTTGATGTCCAGTCTTGAAAATTTCTGTGATTTTTCCTCTTCGTGCGGAGAAAATTCTGTGAAAATTTCAAGGAATGATATTGATTTGGTCTACTTCAAAAAAATAAAATGCGAGCGTAGATTTTTAAACACCGCAAACGAGATACGTGGTTTGGTAGTTTCACCGTCGATATAAATTTCTCTGATGTTTTTGTTTTATTCTCTCAGATTGAATAAGTAATTATATCCTCATTTCATTTGCTCCCCCTTTCATTCTTTTCTACTTTATAACAAATGTGTCCATTTACAATTATTATTTTAAAATAGCTTTCCTTAGAATACATTAGATGCTTTAAACGGAACAAATTTGTTTTAATGACATATCATGGGTTTTTCCAGGAAGGCAGCCCCTCGTCCTTCCCAGACTCAACTGTTGCCGGATAAGTTGCTTTTTCATTACTTTTCCCAGTTCAAACCCAAGTAAAATATTCACATTTATCCCACAATCTGGCAACCGGGCTCGAATAATAGGTGTTAGGTGAATCGAGTTTATAATAATGATGATATCGTCGCCTACCTGACATAAGGGCGTAACTACAATCTGCGATGAACCCTGGGCTCCATACAATTCAATGCTTTTCCAGGCTCATCTCAATGTGTAGTTACGCCCTTATGTCAGCCAAGCGACGATATGACCGAAAAATTTTACTTTTTTCTTCGGTTTTTCATTCTTCAATAAGGGATGCCCAAGGTTGCAATGTAAAAGTCAAAAACACCTCAAAATAGTCATACTGATGTTTCATACTTGCTTTTCAAAAATTCTTGAAATTTTATCACCATTAGAGGATGCTCAAAAGGATCCTCTTAAGCTCAAAAGTATAAGATTCCGATTAATACAGCTTCCGAATGGAATTTTCAAAAATTGGCTGATGGAGTGAGAGTGACCTGGGCAAAAGCGAAAAATCCCTTTATTCTACAAGGTATACACTAAAATTATGCCAATTCATGGATTACTACGGTCGAATCTTTTCCTCTATCTTCTGCATCAATAAAAACAGCTAAAATGCCAAAAAACTGAAAAATTCTCAACCCTTGGGGCTATACGCAGAACAGGTGGATACTTTTTTGTTTTCAAAATCCTTTTGGCTAGGTTATTTTTTTAATTAATCACATAGAGCAGTTTAAGACCTTTGGTTTGGTAGATTAAAAAAAAAAAAAGTCCCATCCTACATTAATGCTGGNGGGGGGGGGGGGGGGGTGGTTCTTTTGGATTGATGCTGGAACAATGACGGAAGGAGAGGATCAGATGAATACCGGCCGGGTACCAACCAAAAGAGCTTGCTGCATCATTCTGTATCTGATCGACAGAGGATGTATACGCAGTATTCAAAATGTCAGCGAGAGTTGGAGGTGAGTCAGCTCCAAGAGTATTTTCCTCAGGAGTATGCCAAGACATGAGCTGATTTAACTGAATATCATCATTATCCTCCCCAGCCTCCATCAACTGAAAAAGGAAAACAAAAAACAAGCGTGTGAGGATATTTAAGAGAGCAGAAATAAAGAAGAGGAAAGAGCTTAATGCAAAAATGACGTTTTTCGCCCACTCCCCCCCCCCCTCGGGAATTTCTTCAAACTTCGCCTATGAATTACTCATACTTGCCCGCTTCTTTTCCCAAATTTTCAGATGCCTAAAAAATTTTGGGGGGCGCTGGGGGGTCGAAGTCAAAATCTATGAACCTCGATATCTCTCGATAAGAAGAAAGATATTGAGGTCCAGTTTGGGCGAAAAAACGTCTGAAATTACATTCTTTGAGAATCTGAGGGTCGAAATCCCGAAATCACATTTTCAAGTTAACTTCTCAGCTTTTTTCAGTTTTTGAGTCGAAAAACTTTCCTTTAAACAAAGGATACACAAAGCAGTCAATTTTTTACTTGAACCAAAACCAGTTTTCTAAATTGTTCGTCTTTTTCTGCAGTCAACTGGTGTGATTAAATCAGATTGAATGGACCGCATTTTGCAATTTAGACCTATAAATTCGGGCCCGGTTTAAAAACAACGTATGTGCCATTAGTTTCCCTATACACATAAGTGTTTTTTCAGATGAGCCAGAATTTATAGGTCCAAATTGCAAGATGCAGTCCGAATATTCAGACTGTGCAAAACAAATATTTAGGGCTTCTTTAAGGTCGCTGAGTCCAGAAATTGTGCATCCGTGTGGAGTTTCGTGGGTAAAATTGTTGCGATACACCGTTCTCTTCTTTAGGATGTCTAAAATCGGAATTTCGATGGTGTAGAGTTTAAAAATTGGATCAACGCCCAGAGTTCAAGATGGCGTCCAAGATGGCCGCCACCACGGTGAAAGTCTTTTTCGCGGATAGCGTCGAGTCAGATGTCGATTCCTATGTAAATTGTCGTGAGGAATTCGAATGTCACATTTAAAATACCACTCAGGGATACTAATTTTCCTATACAGGTTCATGTGCATAGTGAAGTACCAGTTCTTAGGTTCTCAGGGTCGTAGAGTCCGAAAATAAGGTCGGTTTTTCTCGGCGGCTCTCAAGAGACCCTAAAATCAAATATGGCGCCCAAAATGGCCACTGGTTTTACGGCTGAAACACCAATTTGACGCAGCTATGATAAGCAATACGTTCAAAATTTAGTTTTATGGGGCAAGGAGTTCGAATGGGAGATCAAATGTTTACTCCTGCAAAACATTAAGCCTCCGAATCGAAAATGGCGGCCGACATAATTGCCAGTTAGAGCCCAGACTGGTAAATGACTATTGATATTAAATGGATTTGCCAAAGGAGCGGTTTCGATAAGGGCCGTTTTTGGGCCATACCCTGAAATTCTTCAATTCTACGATTTTTTGCTCAATAGAGGTCTAAATGTTACGGAATTTAACATGCTTAGGTCATTTTCGGTCCATTTTGGGGTCTAATACTGGAGGGTATGGATTTGATCGACACAGATCGATTGAAAAATGAAAATGTGAATTGATCGACAAATTATTAAAAATCTGGTGTCGATTCGATCAACATGAATCGATCGAAAAATGAAAACGTGAATCGATCGACATGAATTGATCGGCACCGATTCGATCGACAGTTTTAAAAACACCCGTGTCGATTCGATCGACATGTATCGATCGAAAATTAAAACGTAAATCGATCGACACCAATTCGATGGACAAAATTCGATCGACTCACGGGTTTGTCGATCGATTCTCGGTTGTCGATTGATTCACGTTTACAAAACTCGATCTATTCATGTCGATCGAATAGACATGGGTGTTTTTAAATTAACTGTCGATCGAATCGGTGTCGATTGATTCACGTTTTCATTTTTTGATCGAATCGACACTGGTTTTTTGACAATTTGTCGATCGAATCGGTGTTGATCGATTCATATTTTCATTTTCCAATCGAATTCATCCATACCCTCCTTAATACTGGCCTGAGCATGAGTCTGAAGGCTAATTTTGGCGGAAAATGCAGGTTTTTTGGCATTTGACGCACTGCGCCCCCTGTTTCATAGCGATCCTATCATCGGAGGAGCAAATCTTCCTTCAAGTACGTTCATTAAGGGTGCAAGATCAAGGTACACTCTACTACAGGTATGGACAAACGGGGTGCCGAAGTGGCAGCGCTGAGATTATAGGACATCGAGTGACGTCGTAAGTCGTACCGTCTTTGCCGCGCAGTTCAAAATGAGGTTCTGGTAGATCCGTTGGCTTCGATAAGCCATCAGATGAATTTAAAAAATTTATAGAACTCAAAATAACGAAAACCTTAACTAAGAACACGAAAAAATAACACGAAATTGACGAAACCCACTCTTAAATCAGAAAGTAAATAAGTTTTCAATATGGCGTCGCAGTCGTACCATTGGACGCTGCCAAATCTACGCGTTTCGACGACTTTCTAAAATTCCATTTGTCCATACCTGTAGTAGAGTGTACCTTGGTGTAAGATAGTCACTCTGCCCAACTTTCGTCAATGGCAAACCTTGCGCTCATAGTTAAAACGAACTTTTTAGAATTTTCTTGTTTTTCATTATAATTTAAAATGACAAAAAAAGGGCTACTCATCTTAAACCAGAAATAGATTCTTGGAAATGTGATTCCGGGATTTCGGCCTTCAGATTCTTGAAGAATGTAGTTTCAGATGCTTTTCGGCCCAAACAGGACCTCGATATCTTTCTTCGTTCCAGAGATATCGAGGTTCACAGGTTTTGACTTCCACCCCCCCCCCCCCCCCCCNAATTTTTAGGCATCTATGAATTTGGGAAAAAAAGCGCTCAAGTAAGAGTAATTGATTGACGAAGTTTGAAGAAATTCCAGAGAGGGAGGGGGGTAGACGAAAAACGTCGTTTTTTTTATCAGACTCTTTCCATTATTTGAAAACCTTCTTCATTGTATTTAACTAACAGTGAAAAAGTTTCCTTAAAAAAGGTTGCAATAAACATTAGGTTCCTGACGAAAGTGCAATGCTTCTTGAGTGTAGCAAAGATTCAAAAAAATCATTGTATAAGCCCAAGGAGCCATACTGGAGGGGAGGGACAAAAACCTCTCTTACTCGGTGCCTCTGGACCCTAATCCTGGGATATTATTCATCAGATTAAAGAATTCATGCAAACTCTTAACATTTCTGACAGGTAAATGTTATGAGAATATCATGACAAATCCTCAAAATCAACTCAAAATCCAGAAGACCAAAAACTCCTTTATTTAAGATTTCAGACTTTGTGCTCTGCCAAATTTGAGTTTTGTTGAGAAACTTCAACTTTTCAATACGTTTTTTCTCTACGAATTTCCAACATAGGGAGGCAAAAATCTGCATAAAACCTTTCATCTACTAACAGTACAAGTAGAAAAAGTGTCACTGAATTATGAGAGTCTTTACCATAGCTTCCAATGAGAAAATATTGGTAGGAATAATTCACGCTCGGCCACTACCTTCAAATTAAGTAAAAAGGAGCGAGTATTAGTGCGATGCCTAACAGGTAGCTGCCACACTTACAGATCTAGTGAATAGGTGTTCAGAGGTGACTATCATGACAATGAACAGAATTATCAGATGCTTCATTAGGAGAAGCAAAAAGCACAAGAGCCGGACGTAGCCGGGCCGAGCCGGTACATGTTTGCTTGCCCGCAATCAATGTTTCGCATGTTGAGCAAGACACAACTGTCAACATCCAGCTTACGGGCCGGATTGGTGTGTTTACTGCTTAGGTCCACGCCAGATAAGTTTACGTTACGTTCTTTGTGAGGGTAATAATAAGGGTTATGTCAAGTTTTTTGGAGAGTAACCAATTGAGTTAGAGACTGAGGTGGCAACGGATGGGAATGGAGGATAAAGGTAAACTTTTATTAAAGTAAACTATTATGAGGGTAATAGGTGTTCTTTAATGAAGAGTCTGACAGAAGATTAGCCACCTTTGATTACGTAGACTCCGCCCCTGGGAATCTGACTGTACCTCATTAGTAGTGCAAATTCATTGAGATTATTGAGTAGCAATGATTGATAACTGTAACTGGTGACAAGCACCTGTCACTCTGCTCTTATTCTGCAGTTTCTTCCAAAAGTCAATCATTGATAGTATGAAAGTTGATACACTAACCGCATCACCAATTACAACCAAAAGCAACCACCCTCATTCTTAACCCCTCAGAAAAAGAACAATAAACAAAGCAAGTCTAGGGGTTCATTGAATTCATTAAGCGCATGAAAGGGGATGGATTGGGTTATCTGCGGATCGAAGCACTTCTGCTCAAGGTTAGAAGCTTGCACATAATTGCTGGACGACCACCACAAAGGAACAATCCAAGCATTCTGCAGGAATGGACAGAACAGGCTGGACTGCAGCAGTGGACCAGGATAAACAGGTAACGCAGTTTATCAGAATCCTCCACAATTTCGAATATAAAACCAGCCCTGTTGGAAGTGAGGTTTTCGAAGTTAAGCTTAGACATGTCTCTCAGTTTGGCTGAGGAAAATTACACCATCAGGGCTACTTTCGACTGTAATATGGGATTCATTGGAAAAAGGCATTTTGTGCATTAACACTGATATTAATCACTGGAAAAGTGGGATTTTTGAGAGGTAGTGGGACTTCACGATCCCTTTTCGCCATAGGTGGGTAAGTATTTAGTACATACCTACCACAGCCACAGCCTGCTCTGCCGTCATAGCGAAGGGAGCCGTATGTGCAAAATTTTCAAAATCGAGTTTTCTTCAAAATTCGTCTAAACTCTTTTACATGAAATTACTGAGACAGCTTAAACAGCAAAATTCATCCTACTTTAATGAAAACGAGACGTTTGAAAAAGCCGTATGTGCACAAAAAAGGACAGTTTTTTTCAAGACAGCCGTAGGTGCATGAGAGCCAATGAAAACAGTGCTTTCAAGAAGAATGCCGCCCTCATCTGCCAATTTCTAAACACGCTACCACAAAAGCACGCAGAAGATAGCACTTACGACTGTCTTGCCAAATACTAACCTAACATGAAACTGAATTTTACCTTATTCATGTACTTTAAAATAAAATCGGTCAAGTTTCAATCCCCCAAATGATTTTTAGGAGTCTATGGAATGATTGGTTGCGATTTGACAAGGAATGGAGACTTCTTTTAGGGTGATTCGTCAAGCTCAAGTGACGTGGTCGAACTGACATGCGATATGTCGCATCATTGAGGTCAAAAATCTCGACAGATTTTGAATTTTCAGCAAAATTAAGGACAATAGCCCCTGCGCATGAGCCTGAAGAATCATTCTAAACCCAAAAATCGGCGAAATTCTGGGAAATGAAAGCAGGGTAGTGTTTGGAAAAAAACCTCGCATTCGATACAGAAATCGATAGCTGAATCGAATGCGAGGTTTTTTCGAAACACTATCCTGCTTTCATTTCTCCGAGTTTCGCTGATTTGTGGGTTTAGAATGATTCTTAGAGCTCATGCGCAGGGGCTATCATCCTTTTTCGTCCTGAAAATTCAAAATCTGTCGAGATTTTTGACCTAAAAGATGCGATATAATGCATGCCAGTTTGACCATGTCACTTGAGCTTGACAAATCACCTTAAGAATAAAATGTTCCATTCAGAAGCTTCCAGGCCCATTCTCAAAACTTCATTTTTGCACTTACGGCTCTCTTCGCTATCACGGCAGTGCTGGCTAACACCATTCCTTAACTACCGGTCTGATGGTCTTCACAGTCCACGCCAAATTAAGTTGTCACGCTTTGAGGATACAACAGAAGATCAGCTGTCTTCAGTTGAACATTGGAAAGAAATGCGAGAAACAAGATGGCCGATCTACTGTCTCACTTTGGAGGAGTGTAAGCTTCTTTGACATGGGGTTTGTTAAATATCTAAATTAGATTGAAGGCAGCTGATCTTCTGTGGCACTCCAAAAGTGCGTGTAAATATTTAGCATGGACCTTGAAGAACAACGCCACAGGAGTCGTCTGAGCCAGGAGGCTAGTCCAATATATAGAACCAAAGAGAAATAAACACAGACCAAAACAGAGGGAAAACAATGCCTCCTTCTAGACAGAGCGCATAAAGAATATGAAGAGGTTGAATTATAGATTTGGAAGCGAAAAATCGTGGATTTACGTACCTATTTCCTTGAGTAGAGAATATTAAGGCACAGTGAGATGTTCGTACATCCCTCCGACCTTAACAATAATAAGGAAAACAGGATAAAAGATAGAAAATAAATGAACTCAGATTGACGGAAAAATCTTTGCAGAAGAGGTGGACAACGAGGATCGAGGAAAAGGACAAGAGTTGAAGAGCACAGAACCAGAAAAGGTACGGATTATTGTCAAGGGACGAACATTGTTAAATCGTAAACAGCGAAGCACCTGGATCTGGAAGCACTAGAGCACAGAATATATAGGCTTCACCAACAGACAACGAACTACACCTCTAGAATGGCCGACCAGTGTTAGAGACCCGGAACGTTTTGAAGTTGATATAGGTTAGGTTTACTTGGGCTCACACAGCAGGCTGCCATCTAAACCCATGTCAGACGCTGCCCACATTTTGCCGAATAATGTTAAATAAAGTGATAGCAATGAAAAGATTGCATAATAATCGCACCTCCAAAGGTTTTCTTAATTCAAAAAATAGGTACTTTGAAAGCAAACCTCAAAAAAAATGAAAGTTTACGTAGGTTGAAATTTTCACATGTAATCCTTATGGGCAAGACGCAACAGAAATGGAGATTGAGGTTAGCTATACTTGGGCTCCCACCCCCCTCCTGCCTTCAAAAACCGGCCCTTGCGCGTACCGCAGGTTTGCTATCTCGCGGCCATTCTAGAGGTGTAGTTCGTTGCCAACAGAAGGTTCACTCCAAAGACATAAGCTACGTTTATGCGAGGCTCGAAACCGGGGTTTCACGAAACCCGAGTTTGTAATGCAAGTTTCCTCCGTCGGGTTTATGCGGGCGCTGTAACCCGACTTCCGCGGGAAATCAAACTNGATGACTGTTGCTCGCTCATAATTGTCCATAAGGAATTGTTGAAACCCCGAAAGTAAAAGCTTCCACCTGTCGCTAGGAGGCCAGTGGAGGGTCTCTTGTCTCTGTTCGTTGCCAACAGAAGGTTCACTCCAAAGACATATATTCAATAATTTCACCCCCGAGGTTGAATTGCTGTTCTAATGTTCAGGATTGAGGTTATACCCTCAACGGTGCCATCGGTTGCACCGGCCGATTTGCTCCGGAATGGATGAGCCTGGACTGAGTGGACTGGAACTATCCGAACCAAAGACATAAAGACGGAGTGCTCGTATCTAAAAGCACGGGGAAAAAGTGAAGCTAGGTTCGGCGCTGCGCGTTTGTGTGAGTGTGTAAATGAGCGCGGGAATCCATGGCGGCAAACGGAAATTTGATTTGAACTTGTCCTCTTGATTTTTCCTTATTTCTTCTTCGAAACGTGTTTTAAATGCTT